CTACTAGGAAACATTATAAAACCCTTCGAGCAGTCACCAGAGATTGGCTTCAGAATGATGTGCTAAAGTGCAAAGAGCATAGCATTCTAAGACAACGTTATGCTGAAAATTATAATGCTCGTATTTCAAAAACTCTTCAGCCCATTGAAGCAGTTCTCAACGGAAAATCAATAAGAAGACATACCTTTTCAAAAAAATATTTATCACAATTACAATAGTTAAGAACCCGGACTAGGAAAAGGAGTTAATACTCTAAAACTGGAGAGGTCAACAAGTTTGCAGCGAGTTGATTGAGTGTTAACTCTAACGAAATAATATGAAAAAAAAACTCGTAAAAAGATTTGCTAAATTCTTTTCAAAGCGATCTAAACACGAGCTCGTTGTCGTTTTGTTCATGGCTTTCTTTCTTGATGAACTTGAACGAACTGTCGACACACTCCGCCATATTAGCGCTGGTTGTATTACCGTTCACGTCAGGCGATGATGAAGTAGTACCATTGTGATTGCTGCTTATTTCGTCCTTTTCAACAGTTTTCAATTGACTATGCTCCTTAGTTTCATTTAACTTTCTTTTTACTGTGCAGTACTGATGCTCTTGCTCTTGTTTAAACTGCTCGTATTGCTCCTGTGTAGGATCACCTGATGGTTCGTCCTCATCCATCAGTTCTCTTTTAACCACGGCAAAAAGAGGCTCAGATTGGTGGTCGAACTGGGCGTAATGCTCCTCCACAGCACAATCTCGTGGATTGTCTTCGTTTATTATTTCCGACTGCTTTTGGTCGACAGCATGCAAGGGACTGTTAAGAGAAGACGATGTAATATTACTAGCATTTCTATTGAAGAAAAACTGAGCGTCATTTTGTGCAGATCGAAGTTGTTCCGCATTCATTGCATTAAACATTGTTCTTTCCGTCGTATAACCCATCATAACAGTATTCTGCGGAACATAACCGACACTCGTGGTTAGAAACGCTGGCAAAGGCTGTTGAAATCCTGTAGAAGAAAGAAAGTATTGTTGTGAAGCAGAAGTTTGCGAATTTGGCGGAGAGCAGTACTGATCTGCTTTTTGAGCGCTTTCGGTCTGTTGTGCCTTCAGTTTTCCATTTCTACGTTGGCGCGGCTTGGAAAGCTGGACAATGTTTGCTTGGGCTGCATTTTGAGCTTCCATAGCGCAAAGGTCACATCGCGACAAACGGTATCGTCGAGCAATGGTGTCACGTCTCATTGATGGAGGTCGCTTTCGTCCATTTTTTCGAAAGAACAGATTGCACGCACTAAATAAAAGAGTATAATTGCTTGAGTTTACTGGAAATTCGAAAAAAAA